AGAAATGTTCGAAAAGTTCCCCTTCCATTGTAAAGAGAGATAGGCATGGATATCTGAGAGTTAAGTAACAATGCTCGCAAAAATCAGGCAACTTTCTATTGTTCTGCGGCAATTTCAACTTCTCCACATACGAATGTCTTGGTCTTCATACTGATTATATATCAACCTATGGGTAATGCATTTTTAAAATAAAATGTGGATAAACTCTATTTTGAAACAAAGTTTCTTTTGTATTAAAAGATCTTGTCCAATCATAAGCACTCAAAACAATAGCCAAAGAATGCTTCTCATTTGCTATGTTCACAAAGAATTGCTATTAATATTAAAGTGCTACTTGCATGAAAATGGACTTATTTCAAAACTTCAAGAAATAAGAATATATGACTCATTTATATCTATTAAAAACAATTGCGGGAAAATATTTGTTTTGGAATTATCCCACATCGGGAAAAATGACGTCATTTACTCCAACATTTTTTGCCAAATTATTAAGGATTTGCATCAATATATTCTTGAAATCTGTTGCTTCATGATTATTAGACCCATATGGATAGGTCTATTTGATTTCCAAGTATTTTCTAATATTTCGCAATTTTCGTCCAAGTGACCTATAAAGCTAAGGAAAGCTTTTATGAAGTCGGAATCAGATATTAAATAAAATGTTTAAAATGCGCTTACTTTTGAAATTATGTCAAATTTTAATGTTTTAACCAATGATGGATTATACAATGGATGGATTATACAATACAAAGTAGCACCTTCATGCATCCATTGCCGTTTGCTTGTCTGCTTACTTCTTACTCGGACCATTACTTAATCAGTCAATCTCGTACCCAGAGCCCGCACTTTTGCCATCCAGCGAAAGTCAATGCGTGAGAGCCCTCTTGGGGAATTATTTCTCGATTCGTGATTGGTTGAAAATGACGCGAGCGTGCATTGTTTTCACAAATACCACAAATATGCACTCAGAAAATACTAAACCATACTTTCTAAGCACAAAAAACTATAATATAAACCGCAAAAATGACTTGATTTTGAAGAGATTTAAACTGCTTTCGACCTATAATCGAAATAAGAGGCTGGAGCCAACCTATTCAAAATGTGGTTTGGTTTATGAACTCTTCATTTCTTTCGACTATTACCTCATTC